GATGGGTGGGTGGGTGGATGGATGGATGGATGAGTGGGTGGATGGATGGATGGATGGGTGGGTGGATGGATGGATAGATGGGTGGATGGATGGATGGATGGGTGGGTGGATGGATGGATAGATGGGTGGATGGATGGATGGTTGGTTAAGTGTATGCGGGTAGATGAACAAATAGGTGGAGAGTGGATGGAGAGCTGCAGGAATGTTGAGGACTGGGGTTCTCTCTCTAAGCACAGAGGGAGCCGCCCATTTGGCTCCTGTCCCCACCCAAAGGACTCTGCTCTAGCCCCTGAGCACTGGGCTCTGTTTGGGGGCAGAATGCTGGGGTTGGAGAGGCAGACAGAATAGACTCTGAAGTATTCAGTGCCAGCTCAGCTGAAGGGCAAGCGGCAGACGCAGGCTCCACATAAACCTCAGTGAAGTAACTGCTGACCCTAAACGGGCTTCCTTCACAGCAACACCCACCAGCCCTGCCTACGATGATCCCCCCAGCAGGCAGCACCCCTCCGGGAGAGGCCCTCTTCCCCACTGTGGCTCCTCAGGACTTCTGGAGGTCTTCCATCTCCAGCTACTCAGGGTCCGTGACAGGACACATCAGCCACCGGGCCAACAACTTCAAACGCCACCCCAAGAGGAGGAAGTGCATTCGCCCCTCTCCTCCCCCTCCCCCCAACACCCCATGTCCCATCGAGCTGGTGGACTTTGGAGACTTGCACCCACAGAGGTCGTTTTGGGAGCTGCTCTTCAATGGCTGCATTCTGTTTGGCATCGAGTTCAGCTACGCCATGGAGACGGCTTACGTGACTCCGGTACTCCTGCAAATGGGCCTGCCTGACCAGCTCTACAGCCTAGTGTGGTTCATCAGCCCCATCCTTGGTGAGCCCCGATGGTGGACGGCCTCTGGAAATCTCTGGAAGCTTCCAGAAGCCTCTGCTGAAGCAGCTTTGAGGGACCTGAGGGGACGAGGGAGGAGTTGAGTTCCCCTCCTTAGTATGGGCTGTGGGAAAACACAGGTATGGCCGGTCACATCCTGTATTCTTAGTTTTTTTTATCTGTACTGGAGGGTAGGACAGGAATTAGGTAGACCCCAGGATTGCATCATCGAACAGGCTCCGAGCACTCAGCGCAAAATCTGAGCCATGAAGTTGATGCAACTGGGAGGGGACTGGGTTTTGCTGGGATTCCCCAGGAAGGTCCCAGGGATTCCCAGGAAGGTCTCGTACAGCAAGTCTGGGGTGGCTGGGGCGGCTCTTGCCGCCAACGCTGATCTGGTTGCTTTAATGTTTTGGTGCCTTGGGGTATGTGCTTGCTCATGGTGCCTTGGGAGTACCAGTGGCTGCTTCAGCATCCCCGTGGCACTATACCGGGGACCGGGCAATAACACCCGCCTGCTGCCTGCTCTGTTTCAGGATTCCTGCTGCAGCCTCTGCTGGGTGCCTGGAGTGACCGGTGTACCTCAAGGTTTGGAAGGAGACGCCCTTTCATTCTTGTCCTGGCGATAGGTCTGTTGTTTGGCATGAAAATAAAATGGAAAGAAAGAAACAAAGACGGGAGGGAGGGAAAGAGAGGCTCAAGCAATTCCGAGGCAGCCCCAGGCCCAACCTTGCCTGAGCCAACACTAAGAATAAATCATTTCGGTTTTTTTTCTTTGTTTTAATAAACTAATAGAGCTCGTCTTGTCCTTGCTCAGCTTGATGGGATGAAAACCTTATTCTGAGTGAAAGAACTCTGCCAACTGCAGGCGACTCCCCCGGGCTCCTAAGTCCTCAGTCTCAACACGGAAGTGAGCCTCGGAGATAGAGAATGGCTCCATTTTCTCTGGTGACTTTGTCTCTCTGTTTCCAGGGGCATTGCTGGGCTTGTCGCTCCTGCTCAATGGAAGGGACATTGGGATGGCCCTGGCTGACACGGCCACCAACCACAAGTGGGGCATCCTCCTGACTGTGTGCGGGGTGGTGCTGATGGACTTCAGCGCAGACTCGGCGGATAACCCCAGCCACGCCTACATGATGGATGTGTGTGGCCCGGTGGACCAGGACCGAGGCCTGAACATCCATGCTCTCATGGCGGGTGAGTGCCTTTCCCCCAGGCAAGACTGCAGTGCGTGGAGTTCAGATGTGTGTCCCTTGGGAAGTGGGGGATGTCCTTCCTTACCTCTAGGTTTAAAAATAAGTTGATGAAGTTCAAATATATAAATATACAGGTTAACATCGAAGCAATAGAAAACATTTATGTTTAGGAAAGGTGCTTGACTTGAGTTTGACTCTCAAAACTTACATAATGATAAGAAAGAACTAATTCCTACAAATTGCCCTCTGACCACCACACGTGCACAAACACACACACACACACACACACACACACACACACACACACACACTCCATAGCCCCAAAAATAAACAAATAGGGCTGGAGAGATGGCTCAGTGGTTAAGAGCACTGACTGTTCTTCCTGAGGTCCTAAGTTCAGTTTCCAGCAACCACATAGTAGCTCACAGCCATCTATAGTGAGATCTGGCGCCCTCTTCTGGTGGGAAAGTGTACATGCAGGCACACACTGTATACATTATTTTATAATTGTTTAAAAAATAAACAAATAGAAAATATTTATCTTGGAACTGGGCACGCACAGAATCCCAGGGTTTCCCAGCACTGTCTAAACCAGGTGTGGAGACAGACACAAGGGAATCAGAAGTTCAAACTCACTTTAGACTACATAGTCTGAAACCAAACTAGGATACATGAGACCTGTGTGTGTGTGTGTGTGTGTGTGTGTGTGTGTGTGTGTGTGTGTGTGTGAGAGAGAGAGAGAGAGAGAGAGAGAGAGAGAGAGAGAGAGAGAGAGAGAGA